TGTGATTATGTAGCTTTGATTACTGGGATACAAAAATATGCCTGTGATATTTTTTTTAGCGTGGAATTGTATATTTATAGTTGCGCTATACTGTGCATTTGCGTTTGTGTAGTAGATGAGGTTGTTAGCACCATTTTTTATTAAGGTTGCCCAACATTTCCCATTATAAGACTTTTTACAGTTGCTTATAAGTTTCTGAAACTTTAACCATTTGGGTTGAAATTTTCCATGCTCTGGGTGTTTACCGCATGCTGAATTTACATAAGTAGGGCCATACAAGGTCAGATCAGTGGTCCATGTAGCCCATTATCCTGTCTTCTGATAGTGACCAGGGCCAGATGCTTCAGAGGGAATGAACAGAGCAGGACAATTTATCGAGTGATGCATCTCCTGTTGTCCAATCCCAACTTCTTGCAAGTCGGAGGTTTAGGGACATCCATAGCTTGGGGTTGTGTCCCTGATCATCTTGGCTAATAGCCATTGATGGACCTATACTCCATGAACTTATCTCATTCTTTTTTGAAACCAGTTGTACTTTTGGCCTTCACAACATTCCCTAGTAATGAGTTCTACAGGTTGACTGTGCTTTGTGTGAAGAAATACTTCCTGATGATTGTTTTTTAAATCTGCTGCCTATTAATTTCAATGGGTGACCCCTGGCTCTTGTGTTATATGAAAGAGTACATCACATTTCCTTATTCACTTTCTCCACACTATTCATGATTTTATAGAACATAAGAACATTGGCCACTGTCAGAAGACAGGATACTGGGCTAGATGGACAATTGATCTGACCCAGTATGGCTGTTCTTACGATCTTATTGAAGATAGACACATCCAAAGCAGACTGTGAAGTGTTACAAAGGGATCTGACAAAACTGGGTAATGGGGCAATAAAATGATGTTGAAAATGCAAAATAATGCACATTGGAAAACACAATCTCAACTATACATACAAAATGATGGGTTCTAAATTAGCTGTTACCACTCAAGAAAGAGATCTTGGGGTCATCTTGGGTAGTTCTCTGAAAGCATCTACTCAATGTCCATCTGCAGTCAAAAAAGCTCACAGTGTTTGGAACGATTAGGAAATGGATAGATAATAAGGCAGAAAATACCACAATGTCACTGTATAAATCCATGGTATGCCCACACCTTGCAGTTCTGGAGACCGTATCTTAAACAAGGTATATTAGAATTGGAAAAAGTATGGAGAAGGGCAACAAAAGTGATTTTAGGGATATGGAACAGCTTACTATAAGGTAATTTTGTATTATTGGCAAACTTTGCTACCTCACTCTTACCCCCTTTTCCAGGTCATTTATGACTATGTGGAACAGTGCTGATCCCAGTATAGGTCCTTGGGGGACCCTGCTATTTACCTCTTTCCACTGTGAAAACTGACTGTTTAGTCCCACCCTTTGTTTCCTATCTTTTAGTCAGTTAGGGATCTATGAGAGGACTTTTCCTCTTATCTCATGACTCCCTAATTTGCTTAAGAGCATTTGATGAGGACCTTGTCAAAGGCTTTCTGAATTTTTCATAAGTTTCAGTCATTTCTCAGAATGAGGTTAGACAGCATGGAGGAGGAATGCAGAAGGGAGAAGAACTGTACCAGGGAGGAAGGAAAGGAGTAGTTGGGACAAGGAGACTTCCTGGGACAGGAGGAGGAAAGGGGGAGAGAGAAACTGACTGGGAGTTGTGAGGTGGAGGTGGGACTGGGATTGGGAGGCTGGGGTTGGGAGAAAAAGGAGGCTGAGACTTGTTTGGCAAGGAGACTGGGACAGGGAGAGGCTGGGACTGGGAGCTGGTGAAAGAAAATGGGGGATCTGGGAGCCATTTGGGGAGGAATGACAACACTGAGATCATTGCTTAGAGGAGGGGGGAGACAGGAGGTGATTGAAGGAGGAGACTGGGACTGGAAAGCAGTGGGGAGTGAATGAGTGCGGGGGCTGGGGGAGAGAGAGATGAGAAGGAGCCAGGATGTGCATGGCGGAAACTGGGGCTGGCTGTTGGGCAAAGAGATTGCTACAAAGAGCCAGGGAGTGGGGTGATTGGGGCAAAAATACAGGGAGGGGAGAAATGGGGTGGGGGGGGGGGAGAGAAGAGATGGACCAGATGAAGAGAAGGGAGGGAGGAACTGGGAATGTCTTGTCAAAGAGACTGGCACTGGTAGTGAGACAATGCTCAATTAGATATGTCTAAGACCTGATTTTTTTTTCAGGTGCTTAGCAGTATATAGCACTTGATATTTTCAAATAACAGCTCCTCTTGACTTCAGTTGCAGCTGTGAGAGTTTAGCAAATCAGAGTGCTGTACATCAGATCCCAGGGTCTCAAGCTGGGCACTCAGAAAATGAGAAACACACAAGTAATGACTACCCGTGAAATGTTTTGATTTTTAAGTGTCTTGCCTAGCATCACACCGGAACTCTGTGTGCCAGAGGTAGGAATAGAATCCAGTTGTCCAGGGCAGCATTCAACTGCTATTAGCATGAGACCATCCTTCTCTTCCCGCCGTGCCTTATTAACTACACACCTTCCAACTTGTACAATAAATGAGGCAGGGGTCTTATAGACAACAGCCACCTTTACTACACAATCCTGATTCATCCCCCAAGCACGTCCATCTTGTACAATGAATGAGGTAGAGATCCTGTTGAAAAAACCAGCATGTGAGCATGTAATTAGATAATGTATTATAATGCATATGCACAAGGGTCTGAATTAAGGTTACACAGGCAACCTTATTTCTGGCACTTCCTAACTTTGGAGGGCTTGACCGTGTAACTTTAATGTTCTTTTAATGTGGTGGGAGGGGGTTGGGTGATAGTTTGTATACGATGTTGGGGAGAAAATATCAGGGTAACAGAAGCTTGGAAATATTTCACAATTATGTAATTTTTTTTAAATGTCAAAGCTACAGCAATATTTCCTTTTCATTTGTGTGGTAAATATTATTGTTTTCACAGATACATGCACAGCTAACGTAGAGTGTGATTAGCTAATATAGACAAACCAGCTTGCTCAAAAGCAGTACAAGGTATCATTTAAAAACAAACTCTAAACAGAGAGATTAACTCATGTACTGTGTCTAAGAATACAGTACAAATTGATTATGTATTACAGTTGCCAGCTCATTGTCTTGTGGAGCGAATAGTTCTAGGAGATGTATTTTTGGTTCCTTTAACATTAGTACTTTAAAGGTGAACTCCAATCATCCCCTTTGTTCTTCATCCCCCACCAGCATTTTAGCTTTTTTACACTAGAAATAGCATGCTGGGTTGGTCTTTATTTCTCTGTGTTATCTGAAGAACTGGAGAGCTAGTGGGATGTGACATCATAAGAGATTGAAAATTGAGCTGCAGCTTTCTCATCCCTCATTTGATGGGGAAGGAGAATATTTACTGTTGAAATGTGATGGAGGTGTTAAAAACTTAATAGGTTTCAACACCTAAAAGCTTTAAAAGCTCTTATTGTTGAATGGGAATATTTATTTAGTTACAAAATCTTGATCTGAGGGACTGAGGGCAACCTTCAGGAATGTTCCCAAATCTACCCAGGTCTTGCTAAGTATATAGAGAGGGGGGAAAAAACTAAAAATGTATGTTTGTAATTTTTAATGATTTATGCCCCAATCTTGCAAACATTTACATTATGTGCTGAGTTTAATGAGACTGTTCATGTGCATAGAGTTAAGCAGATGCATAAATATTTTTCAGCTGTATTTTCAGCAGTGTTCACTAATTTTGTGCACTTCAGTTTTGGGTGCCCAATTTGTGACACCTTGTACCTAATTCTTTTCAGAGGTGTTGAAAGCCTGAATCGGGGACACAGTGTTCCTCTGAAATTGGGGCACACGCGTGCATATCTATTTTTTAGTTTAACTTCCTCTGTACTTTTGCCTACCACGACCTGAGTTCCGAGTTCTGTGTCCCCCTTACAAGAATTGATAACATTCCTAACACCTACACAAATATGTGCAAATACCATGCAGCTCATTGCCCTACTTCAAGTCTTCCAATGATGTTACTAAATCCTGCAGGAGAAACAGAACCTGAACCTAAAGTATTGGGATACCATGAAAGTATGCCAGTTTTATATATTAAAAAAAACAAACAAACTTCAAATGTGAACTGAACTGCTTAAAATATAAACAAATTATAGTACAAACAAGTCCTGATTTTTTTTGAGCACTAAATATCAAACCACTATAATCTAAAATTCATGTTCTAAATGCAGTTAATGTATTCCTTTTTTAAATTGAAAGTTTCAATTTCAGATGTTTCCTGAGAACTAAGTTAAATAAGGGTTTGTATGTATAAATGACCCACGTTTATTCATAAGTTTCTAAATATTTTGCACTGTAATTCTTACTTGCACTGACCTTGCATAGAAAGTTATAAAACCTGCATCTATCGTGTTTTGATGTTTTATTGCTCATTTTAAAACTCTCATGAAGAAATGATGAGAGTTTTAAAATAAGCAATAAAACATCTTACATGTCGTGTCTCCTGGTTTTTCCTCCAGGATATTTTTATTTTAAAGGGTGCATAAAGAAACATTTTGAAAATAAATTATAAACAAAAGTTGAGAGCCGCTCCAGGCAAAGGAAAACAGCTGCTATGGGCTGTGCCTACACATCTACTTACCCCTAGCCTCCAAACCCAACCATACATATACACAAGTGTAAAAGAGCAAATCTTGGTGATGAATTTGAGTAAGTCAATGTCTTGAACAATTAATTCTTTTTTTAATAACCCCATTACTTTCTCTCACCCAGAAATCCAGTCTGTTATCCTCTAGTTGTACATACACATGTAATTTCTGTTAAGACTAATGAAACTTCTTTCATTCCTCGATGATGCAAGTATATAAGACCTAAGGAATGTCTGTGTCCTTCTGTGCAGGTCTGTACCATGCCCCCTTTTTCTGTTTTGAATTTGTTATTGTGTTTAGTATTAGGGTAAAAGATGTTTGGTTTTTTTTGTTTTTAAATAGCAACCCTACCATGTACCGAATGGACTGTCTACAGGGAAGTTCTCTGATGGCATGGTGTATGGTGTGGTGCACAGGACTGACAATAACCATAAGAAAGAAATGGTGGTTTATGGGTGGTCAGCTCATCAGCTGAAAGAAGAGATGAATTACATTAAAGATGTGAGTTATATATTTTTTTTTAATTTAAAAGATGTTCTCAAATATCCTTTCTATAATGTTGTTGTTTATTGAGTCTCTACACACTGAGCAAAAAAACCTCTGTTCTGTAGCAGGGGACTGTAACAGACTCTCATCCTCCGTGGGTTGGGAGCGAGGGGGATACCTAATGCACACACTGACCAGAGCATTACATTCCTGCTTCTGTTCAGCAAGTAAGCTGCCAAACAAGTCATAGGGTCTCTGTTCCAAAGCCCTTATAATCTGAAATCAAATACATAGAAAATTGTTTAAGCAGCACTTGAAAGACCGATCAAATCCATCCTCTCCAGTTCTGGGTGGGCTACTAAAAATGGTAAAGTAGTCAATTCATTTAAGGACACTTTGGGGCAGTTTCAAGGTAAGGGATTGCCTAATAACAGTGGCTTCTTGCACAAATTTTACTGTACAGATAGTATTGACTAATAAGAGAAACTAACATTTCCATAGGTAACTATAAGTAACAGCTCTCCTGAAAGAGAAGTGTAAATTCAGTGGCCTTGGTAAGACTGACTTCAGTGCTGCAATCATGCAGGAGCTAAACATTTCATCTGTTGATCTTTGACTCTCTAGGCTTAGTTAGTAATTCCGCTAATTAGTACAAAGCAAATAATCCATCCTTCTCTCTTTACTCCATCCCACCCATGAAGCCAGTTTACGGAAGCTGGCCAGTGCAGATGATGCTCTACTGATTTCAAGTTCAAGAGATCATGTTACGGAGACCCCGGGCGATGCTTTGGAACTGCTCCCCACAAAGCCAGTCAGGACTCTGGGGAGCCTCCTCTCCCTCGGAGCAGACTGTCTTCAGGGCAAGAAGCTCTCACGGCTTCACCTTCCTGGGTCTGACCTTGGAGCATTCAGTATATGCCCCCTGTGCACTTCCCACCAGCGAGTCTGCCCAGGCGGGGTCCTGGGGAAGCCAGAGGGTCCTGCACCCCCACTTCTCAGTCAGACGTGACTCTTAACCAGCCAGTAAAACAGAGGTTTATTAGATGACAGGAACATGGTCTAAAACAGAGCTTGTAGGTACAGAGAACAGGTTCCCTCAGCCGGGTCCATTTTGGGGCCCAGTAAGCCAGACAACCCCGTCTGCACTAACTTCCTGTCCCCAGCCAGCTCCCAACTGAAACCCCCTCCAGCCCCTCCTTTCTGGCCTTTGACTCTTTCCTGGGCCAGAAGCTCACCCGATCTCTTTGTTCACCTTTAGCTGTTCCCTTGCAGGGGGGAAGGGCCCCAGCCATTTGTTGCCAGGATACAGAGTGTCTGCCATTTATGCACACTGGAGACTTAAGCAATACATAGGGGAAACTGAGGCACCCACACAGTATTCAGAGGAAACATTAAGAACAGTCCCACTTCATCACAGATCAACTTTCATATAAAAGAGAGGATCGCTGTGAGTCAGGCTAACAATTTAAGGGGATGTAATAATGTTGATTCCTAATATCTGCTTGTTTTTGCTTACAGGCACTTGCAGGCTGTATCTTCGTATGGTATTAGGCCATTTTCTAATAGTCAGGAATCACTGACTCTCTTTTACCAAGTGGCTTCTTGTAGTTGAGGAAACTTGCCCTCTTTCTAAATATTCTGGGCTCAATTCACCATTGACCTGTCCCTTGTATGGTCATTTACACCAGTGAAAAGTGAGTGAAAAGCAAGTGTCAAATGCTCTCATTCTGACTGGTGTAAGTGACTACACAGGATGCAGGGCAGTGGCAAGTGAGCAGAGCTGATCCATTATCAGCCTACTGCCTTGATATTTAAATGCTACAATGATGGGAGCCAAAATGATGGTGGTATTGTTATTGCAGTAGCACCTAGGGCAGTGGTCACCAACCGGTCAATTGCGATCGACTAGTCGATCCTTGAGAATCTCCCAGTCGATTGCAATCTCTGGCGGCTCAGCATTGCAGCAACTAAGGCAGACTCCCTACCCTGGCCCCATGCCGCCCCCGGATGCAGCCAGCGCTGCCCGGGGGGCAGGGGTCTCCCTCTGTGTGCTGCTCCTGCCTGCAAGCACCGCCCCTGCAGCTCCCATTGACTGGGAGAGCTGTGGGATCAGTGCTTGCAGAGAGGGGCAGCATGTGGAGCCACGTGTCCCCCTCCCCCCCCCAGGGGCTGCAGGGGTGCCTTCCGGGAGCGGTGTGGGGCCAGGATAGGCAGGGAGCCTGCCTTAGCCTCACTGCACCCGCTGCCGACGGAGCCACCGGAGGTAAGTGCTGCCCCTAGCCCAACCCAACCCCTAGCCCTGAGCCCCTGCCTGGATCCAGCACCCCAAACCCTCTCCTGTACCCCAAACCCTCTCCTGCACCCCAACCCCCAGCCCTGAGCCCCCTCTCAGAGCCATCACCCTGTACCGCCTCCTGCACCCCAACACTCTGCCCAGCTCGGAGACCCCCTCCTCCACTCAAGCTTCCTCCTAGAGGTTGCTCCCCTTACCCCCTCCTGCACCCCAACCCCCTGCCCCAGGCTCATCCCAGAGCCCCCTCCCACACTGCATACCCCTGGGCCTCAGCCCAAAGCCCACACCCCCTCCTGAACGCCAACCCCCACCCTAGCCCGGTGAAAGTGAGTGAGTGTGGGGGACAGCGAAGGATGGAGTGAGCGGGAAGGGGCACCACCTCAGGGATGGGGCAGGTTAGATCCTGGGTTGCCCTTAGATTCAAAAAGTGATCTTGGGCGTAAAAAAGTTGGAGACCACTGACCTAGGGGCTCCACTCATGGATCCAGACTCCATTGTGCCAGGTACTGTACCTACACATAACAAAGACAGATGCTGCCCCAAAGAACTTTGATTGGACAGTTATACAGCTTGTCTTTGGATTTGTTGGGTTTGCCCTAGTGCTATCATCGTCGTTGGCTCATAGACTTTAAGGTCAGAAGGGACCAATATGGTCATCTAGTCTGACCTCCCGCATGATGCAGGCCATAAATGTTGACCCCCCCACTTTCCCTTAACTCTGCTGTTGAAGTCTCCAGATCGTGATCTAAAGACTTCAAGTTGCGGAGAATCTTCCAGCTTGCGACCCCTGCCCTATGCTGCGGAGGAAGGCGAAAAACCTCCAGGGCTACTGCCAATCTACCCTGGAGGAAAATTCCTTCCCGACCCCAAATATGGCAATCAGCAGAACCCCGAGCATACAGGCAAGATTCTCTAGCCAGACCCTCATTTTACCAGCGATGGCCATTATTGCCTTTTTCCTCACATAGTATGCCAGCTCCCAGACATGTCCTGTTTAAAACTTCAGATCCCTCCCCATGGCCCCTCCCCCCAGTCATTTTGTGCCTATTGAAGTATGATGCTATGTAAATGCACACTTATTATTTGGATCAAAGCCTTAGGTCCAGACAAGTATTAAAATGAAGAGTGTGTCCTCCAATCAAAAGGATGGCAGCAGTGTTGTCCAAACAGATTCTCAAAAACAGCCAAAAGGGCCGGCCTGTCTGTCTGTGTATCTATCCAATATAAAAGGCTGACAAGAACAAATTTTTAGGCTTTGATTCTGGCAGTATTATGTATAGAGGTTGGGGGTAGGTGTGATCCTCCCTCTCTCTCTCTATGTAAAGCTGCATTCAACTAAACCAATTCATTAGCTTCACTCCCCCCTCCTCCCCATGACTTGCATCTTTGCAGCACAACGAGGTGTTAAATCAAAGTCTGTTTTCACTACATATATGCATATAAGGTGATGTTTAACATTTAAACTTAAACTAGACTAAAAATATTGGGTCAAATCAGAGCTCTCTGGGTAGGTGCACTAGTGGGGAGAGACTCTACTGAGTTATTTTTTGAGCACAAGGAATGGTGTGTGGCAGGGGAAGGAGAGAGAGCTCCCGGTGCTTTCAGCTGTGCACGTTCCAAAGGAGGCAGGACTACAGGGTTTGGGGCATGGCCATGCAGCACAAACTCCTTTCTGAGAGTGCCCCCCTAAAGCAGCGTTTCTCAAATGCGGCCACCAGGGACATTTCTTGCAGCCACAGCCTCCCTCCCTGTTGCTCCTGGATGCCCTGCCTTGGTGTTGGTTGCTGGGGTCACCAACAGGGGTTGGGCCCTGCCCCCCTCTGGAGAAACCTGGGGCACAATGCTGGAGGAGCAGGCACCCAGTGAGTTCCCCACCTTCCCAGGGGTGGTGGGGCTCAGGCTTTGGGGTTCAGCCCTGGGGTGGCAGGCTCTGGCCACGGGGCTTCAGGCCCCAGGCCTGGGCTCCGGCTGTGCAGCAGCAGGCTCTGGCAGCAGGGCTTCAGGCTCTAGTCCCCTGTTGCCTCCCCTAGCCTCAGGCTTGGCAGGACTGAGTAAGTCTGCTGTGAAAAGTGACACTTGTATGTTTGTTATTATCACTTTTCACAACAGACTTACTAGCTAGCAATAAATAACAATGATTTGGACATGTGTATGTGCATATTAATTTTTTTCCTTAAAGCTAATTAAGTATTTTAGGAAAAAGTGTGAGACCGGCCATCAGCAAGAGTTGGTGGCCCCACTCTGAGGCCACCAAAAAATTTGTCCTGAGAACCCCTTTATTACATACGTACTGTAATCAGGCACAGACTCACTCCTGCGGCACCGCCTGCTGGTCATCCATGGGAATTAGCTCACCCAGCATCCGGAGCGCCCTCTGCAGGCCAGGTGTCCCGCCTGTCATTGGCCCCTGTGTCCCTCCTGGACCCCAGTGCCCTTGGCGTGGGTGCTGCTCCCCTGGCAGTATCCCACTCTCTCTCTGGGTCTCCCCACCCAGGGGAACCCCCACCCTTATCCCAATGTTACCTCAGTTGTGGCTACTGCCAGTCACCATCTAGCCCCCATGCCTTGGGGCAGACTGCAGTCTATCAGCCAATCATCACAGGCAATAAGGGGTTTGGACTGGCTGCCTTTACCCACCCTCAGGTTGCCCCTCTGCAACCCCAATACCTATATGAGCCTAGGACCAGGCCCTGCAGCCTGGGGAGTTGCTGGCCTAGGGCTTCCCAGCCCTGCCTTACTCTAGGTCCCCAGGTGAGCTCCCTGCAGCCAGACCTGTCTCTCTCTCCTGTCAGAGGGAGACTGCTCAGTTCTGGCTACCCTGGCCTTCTTATAAGGCCAAGTGGCTCAGTTTGGGGCGTGGCCCCAGCTGCAGCCACTTCCCCAATCAGCCGGGGTTTTGCTCCTTTACTCAGCCCTATCCCTCTGCAGGGCTTTTCCAACCCCTTCAGGGCTGGAGCGGGCCTTCACCCCGCTACACGTACACATGAATGCGGCCGCCTTTCAGTGCCTCCACTCCTGACTCCAGCTGTGCATAAGCCCAACTATGCTCATTGTTGTACTATACCTAATCAGTCTGATAGGTAATCATATGACTGAGTGAAAAGGGCAACCTCTAACTATGTGTCTGGAAGGTAGCATGTAAGTGAACATTTATATATTTAGATGTGGCCTTTGTAAACACTAGTTAATCCTGAGCTAGAAAGTTGCTTCTGTTCATGTTTGATTAACGTAGCTAACTCAGTTTTGTTTCCAGTGTTAAAAATACATAAAGGAAATAATTTATACCTGCAGTTATTTTTAATTACGTTTAATTTTTGTACTAAAATCAAATTGGTGAATAGCCTATTTTTTGGAATCTAGTGATGAAATTATGTTTCTAAATTAATGCAAATGAGTGTTTATACAGATAGATGCCTTAAAAGGTAAATTAACCCTCAGCTACTACACCGTGGTATCTAAGACACTTCTGCCAGGGAATTACAAATGTTACCGTGAGCAAGCGTTGGCTTAGCAATGGTGATCACTGTAGGTGATCTTGGTCTTTGGCAGGGCCGGCTCCAGGCACCAGGCAACCAAGCACGTGCTTGGGGCGGCCCCTGGTAAGGGATGGCCAATCTTGGGGTGGCGGGGGGCAGCGTGGCGCTCGGCGGGGGGGGGGGGGGGGCGTTTCCGGTGGCGCAGCGCTCGGCGGAGGGTGTTCGGCGGCGCTCCGCGGGGAGGGGTTCGGCAGCGCGGCGCTCGGTGGGGGGTGTTTGGCGGTGCTCCGTGTGGGGCGGGGGGGGGGGGGTTCGGGAGCGCGGGGGGGGGGCAGAGGCTGTTCGGCGGGGTTTCGGCGGCGCGACGCTCCGCGGGGGGCGGGGGTGTTCAGCAGCTCGGCGGAGGGGGTGTTCGGCGGCGCTCCGCGTGGAGGGATTCAGCAGCACAGCCCTCGGCGGGGGTGTTCGGCAGCACGGCGGGGGGCGGCGGCTGTTCGGCGGTGCTCGGCGGGGGGGGGGTTCGGCGGCGCGGCACTCGGTGGGGGGGTTTTACGGCGGGGCGGCGCTTTTTTTTGCTGCTTGGGGCGGCAAAAAAGTTAGAGCCGGCCCTGGTCTTTGGAGCACATTGTTGTCTGGTTTCTAATCTAAATTATATTTGTAATAAAGGCTGAATAACAAAAGCTTATAATTTGTCTGACTACAGGTGAGAGCAACTTTGGAAAAAGTAAGAAAGAAAATGTATGGAGAGTATGGTGAAATGAAACGGAAAATACAGCAACTTACAAATGAATTGACAGTAAGTTCACATTTACTTATAATGATGTCATAAGAGGTGAACCAAACAAGGTTACCTATAAACATTTTTTATGAAAGACAGTATGTAGCATGAAACAAATCATGTTTTAGAGCCATTTATGTTCATTATTTTTCATGCCTTCACAGTACTTTGTATTTTTCAAGCAAAATGAAAACAGGGCAGAGGCTTTTTCTGTCTGTAAAGGAGCATTAGAGAGTCAAGGTGGGTGAAGTAATATCTTTTATTGGATCAACTTCTGTTGGTGAGAGAGAGAAGCGTTTGAGCTTACGCTGAGCTCTTCTTCAGGTCTGATCATGTAAAGGAGCATGACAGAACCACCCCATTACCTACTTTTTGTAAATAAAGACTACTGTTGATTACATTGCCTGTGTGATTATGTATGATTAATATTCCAATACTGACTGGAGGATGGTGTTTATCATAGAAAGCTTCTGTCCTGTGGGCTGACAAATTAACTGACTCTGGGTTATACAAGAATCTGATGTCTGTTGCTTACTGGAGGTCACTTTTGCAACTCAACGAGTCATTCCAGTAAACTAAATTCCAGCCTTTGTAACTTACTACAGTATTTAAATATATTTGATTGCCATAAAAGTGCTGCAACCTCAGTTCTCTGCTGAAGCCTCCCCGATTTTATAGGGACAGTCCCGATTTTTGGGTCTTTTTCTTCTATGGGCTCCTATTACCCCCCACCCCCTGTCCTGATTTTTCACACTAGCTGGTCACCCTAGCTCATGGTGACCCTCTCAGTCATAAGCTCCACTGCAGCAATAATAGTGACAGGTGTCAGGAAAATTGTCCTTTTCCCCCCCCCCCCACGCACTTTAAAAATTGTTCTTACCTGAATCATACAAACTGAGTTCTTTAGTTCAAAAAACTGGTTGGTTCAACAATTATGCTATAGATGCCAACTGCAACATTTCTTTCTATGGCCCTGATTCAGAAAAGCCTTGTTAATAAGGATAGCATTTAAGCATATGCTTAGCTTTAGGTTAGTGGGACTTAAATATGTGCTCTAATGCTATCCTGATGGAGCCTTTAGCTTCTGCAAGTCATTATCCTAGAGTGTGCATAATGATCTCTGTAGGTTTGGAAGCAAACTTAAAAATTGAAGGAAAAAAATCATCATTCCTTAGCACATTGTTGGACCACTTCCTGATACTTGGGAATGTCTGAAAATATGAATATTTGCTTCTCTTTCACTTAATCTTTTTTCCATCCGTGTTTGTGTCCTGTAGAAGGGAAGCTAAGCCCAAAAAGTAGCCAAAGATCAGAGAATTGTGTCCCAAATGCTGATAAGGACAAAACTAGATCCCCTTGAAGCCAATGGGAGTTTTTGCTTTGACCTCAAAGAGATCAGGATTTGGTCTGAAATATGGGAGAAATATAAATGTCTCTGGGATCTATTATTGGATGGATTTATTTATTTATTTGTTTGTTTGTTTGGACTTCTACAATAATATAAAGGGCTGTCCAAGGCCCAAGGCAACCTCTTGACACACCATTTTTGTCTCTGAAAAGTGTGTCAGATGTGCCATGGAATTCCATCTATCCTGTGCTGAGCTTCCCCCTTCTAGTTAATGATGATAGGATCATTTCTCAGGTAATGCTAGCTTGTCAATAGATCACAATGCCATAAATTGGGTAGTTAGGAAGAGCAGTAACATGTAGCTCTTTTTAGGTCATGCGATCCTGGCTCAGTCAAATGAATTGTGTGTGGCATTTCAAGGGAATGACATAGTGATAGTTAAGTGCATAGTCCAGTGTCTCTTCAATAGTTCCTTCTCGGTGTTTAACCATCATTTTACATTCCCCAGACTGAACTTCTTATCCCTAAACCTCTTTTTCTCCCTATCTTATGTGTGGATTTGACACCCTACCATCTTCCCAGACACCCAGGCTCTCATACTTGGCAACATTTTAGAATCCTTTTATTTCTGCTCCCATCACCTTTGGGCCCTGGCTATAAATTCTCTCTGTCTGTCTGTCATCTCCAAAAACTGCCCCTCACTTTTATCCCTATTGTTAAAACTCTTGCCTGTGCACAGTGAAATCCTGGCCTTGGTCACTGAACCTTTCTTCTGGATCCTCCCCATCTCACCTCTCGTCTGCAATCTGTCCCAAACAGTCTTTCTTTGGTCACTTTTTACATGTGCACACACACCTCTGTGAAGTGAGCCTTGAGCACTGGCTTCTCCTGTATGCTCTGGCCCAGTTGGTGCATGGCTTGGCTAGTAAATGCTAATTGTTAAATACTTATGAAGGTTGGTTCACAATGCTTGTGTATTTTATCTAGAGGTAGACCTTGTTTGCTTGTGTGCGTGATAAGGTTAGACCTTGGTTCATAATCATTGATACTGTTTGGTCTGTTGTATCTTCCTTTATGTTCTTAGACACCTTATGGTTGGTTGGTTGATCATCTTTTCTTCTGTAAAGTTCAAACATAGTAAATATTTGTGTTGGCTCTTCCCCTCTGCTCACTCTCACATTCAAGCTCATGCTTCTTATCTTCAAAGCTTTTTACTTGCTTCCCTGTGTTCCTGGTCTCGTCTCCTCCTATACCATGTCATGCTCCCTGCACTCCACCCAAGCCTCTTTCTAAGCTGCTCCATTTCTTTCCTTCACCTACTCCTGATTGTATGTCCTCTTGCACTCCACCCCGTGTGCCTAAAGCAGCTTTCCCAGTAAACAGCTGTCAAACATCCTCCTACTCCTACCTGTTCAGTTGTGCACTGAAGACACAGACAGCTAATAAACAGCTGTCCTGTATCTCTTTGTGTGTGTTTGGTTTGTGTACTGTTTGGGGCAGAGACTTTGTCAATTTGGGGGTCTGTATATTTTAGCTACTCTAAAGTATTGTGAAAATTTACCATGCTATCTAAATAACAATAAATGAGTACGAGTGTTGTTTCACCTGCTGGAATGCTCTTATATGCATTTGCAGTTCTGATCTTTCATGGAGATCCTCACAGCAGTTTCTAGAGATGCACAATGTTTTTTATAAACCAGAACCTTTTTCTTTTTGAAAACAGGCAAAATTTAAAAATATGCAAAGTACAACTTCAAGGTGAGACAAACTCTGCAGGAGTTCTTATTGGGTGAAACTTGCCTCTGTGCACAGGGTGAGCACGAGGCCCATGCACTGGGTAAGCCTCAATTAAGCACCAAAAGGGATGAATTCCCTCTGCACAAGGATGAATTTCTTCTACCAAGTTTAGCTAGAGGAAAGTTCTCTTTTCATGACCACAAGAGTTAGAGCCTAAGTCCTTGCTGTGGTTAATGTGCATGATGGCACACATTGTGAGAAGACTCTGAAAAACTGCTTCTATATCTCAGCATAGCTTGCTTCCAAGGCCAAAATTTAAGCTTTTAAAATGAAGGTTTGGTTAACACAAGATTTCCAATAGAGAATTTTACCTAGAGATTAAAACTCCTTTTAATCCCATTGTTTTTAACCTGTTGTCTCTCCAGTGTTAAACTGGTGGCAGCTATCATCCTTTTGAAAGAATTTTAAAATTTGAGGATTGTTTTTTAATATCTTTTCTTAATCTGTTCAGATAACAAATGTTGAAAAGGAATCCTTAGAGAGTCACATGCAAGTGCAGGCTGCAGCCTTGGACAGCTTCAGTGAAATGAACAGCTCCTTGACATCGGCATCAGTTGAGTTGCAGGTATGCTGTTAATAGCTCTATCAAAGAGGATGGCCTGATCCATCAGCCACCATCCTAGACTCCCTCTTGTGCCATCAGTTTAACAGTATACATGAGGGATGGATGATGGTTAGATACACATTTGGATCTTAACCATCAAATGTCACTAAGAACATTTAAAACAGATAAATGATGAACTTAAGAAAAATCCAGGAGTTTTGCTGGCTAAAAGGCTGTACTATAATATACAGTAAAGTGTTGTTTCACTCCATTGCAGCTGGTGAAAGCCCTTGGCCTTTGCTTAATGGAAAATTAAAGGTGAAACTGAGACTCTTTCCATATTTTACAAACCAATGACACATCGAATGATTTTGTCCCACTGTTGTTTTCTATTGATGGAAATTTCAATGATTTTTTTTTTAATTTTACAAATATTGAGTAGCCACTCCTGTAAACATACAAAAGTCATTTTTCTTGTTAATAAAAATGTTTTCAGCTTGGCATCCATCCCAGCTAGCCTCCTCAACTCTCCTGTCCCCCGGTGTCAAACTTCAGTGTTTTCAGGTTTATTATCTTAAAATTTGGCATTTGGAGAGGGGAAGAATGGAGGGGAAAATCCAACATTTCACTTCCGTTATATTACAGTATAAAACAGAAGAGGTGTTTGCACTGTAATGCATGCATGTCTCTTCCTCTGGATCACAGCTCTCTGGGACTGCATTTGAATGAACATGCTCCTATGGAGAGATTTTTTTTTGGTAAAGCAAATAATTGGAAACCATAATTTTAAAGGGCCAAAGCTGTTAACTATGTTAATACTATGTCAACAAAAGAGTAAACTCTAAAATATTCTAAATATTGCAGAAAGCCTCTTGTGGTAGGTTGGTCAAATCATGATTTTTGTTTTGTTGTTGTTATTACTACTTCAAATTGTGTATTTCATTGTGTGTATTTTAGAAAACTTTAGTGGATGTTAGTTTGGAGAACACAGATATAAGGGATCAAATAAGGAATTTAAAACACACACATGAGCAGTCCATGGAAAAACTGAAAGAAAAGCAAAAACAGCTGGAAACAGCCCAAGTTGAAAATCAGCTACTGAAACTAAAGGTACAGTATGTAAACTCCCCTTATTCATATTGTGCAATAAGGACATTGCTGAGGCAATGAGATTAATTGCTTGGAAAAAGAGATTTGGCCTCATTTGTGTAGAGTTCTTCACCGACCATCCATGGAGTGTTATTGACAGCCAGTACTGTACTTTTCACAATTTTTCATCAGAAATCTGTTATGTTTTGTGCACATGTACAGTATTTATTGGGCAACAGAGGTGCACCCTAATAGCAAATTACCCTGAAAAGAGAAGTTATTGTGGGACAGCTTTTCAGGTAAGCACAAGGGAATGAAACGCAAGCTGGAGTTATCATATGGGCCTTTTTTTATGAGTCCAACTGTCCTGCATTTGGAAGCTTCCATTAAATCATATTGGAGCAGTTAACAGCATTTCAAATAACTTGGAACAATTGTGCAGTATCAGAAATATTTTAAAAAAATACATTAAATCCCTTCCATGAAATTAGGTGACCACTGACTTACTGACATTTAAATAAGTCAGAAACAGGTGATTATCTTAGGGGCTCTTGTATCCTACATTGGTGCATAGTGATAGATGGCCCAGATCCATCACACTAAGGGGGGAGGGTACGAGCTTACTAATGTATTTTTATGTTCTAATTTCCTTTCAACAATAGTTTTACAAGGTTTGTGTAGAGTAGATTTGTTGCTTGCAGCTGCTATGGTCTGTAGGGAATAAAAAGAAGGAACGGATAATCAAAGGAAGAGAGTAAAGGAAAAGAAATCAGGATTTCAAAACAGAAATTTGTAGTTTATCTTAATCTTGAGGACACGTCCTGGCCCAAACATGAAGTGAGGGAAATCTATGTGTGATGACTCAGGACAGAATTCAGCCTTGTAGGCCTCAATTCAGTGAAGCACTTAAGCATGTGCTTAACATCAGGCAAGTTGGCATCAATGGAATGTGCTCATGTGCTAAAAGTTAAGCACATGCTGGCATAGTGAAAGCTGATTGTTAAGTCATATGCAGAAACATCCACAGGATCTGATTTTTAATTTTTTTTGGCGGGGGGGGGGGTTGGTACGTAAGAAGGGGATATGACATTGTGGGGGCTGGCTGTGAAAAGGCAAAAAATACCAACTTCCCTTATTACTGTCAGTCAGGTCTGTTTCTCTCCGTTTACTTGAATCATTTCTTTTATAATCTCACCTGAGAATGCTGTAGTTAGTGCAGTGGCCACCCAAATTGTAAACAAAGGAATGTGGGAGAGGTGGCACAAGAAATTATACTCCACTTTGACGCTTTTTAAGGTGGTTAGGGTTGAACTGTTTCAACTCTGCTTTCCTAGTTTGTTGTTTCTAATCACATTACTGTAACTATGGGGGTTCAGTGTATACTTTAATGAAACTTGATTTAATTCCTGTTCCTTTTGATGGTATTGGCAGAAACTTGCTCTCTGTCCTAATGTAGCGATCTGGGTCAGATGCCACAGAAGGCAGCTACAGTGCAAATGGAATCCTTCCGAGAGATCTGTCCCTCTTCAGAAGACAAAATATCTTTTTATTTTTATGCAGAGCAATAAGCTTTGAACAGTTTGTTCCCACTGAGTAAGACAGTGTAATGGTTTGATAAATCTTGCAGTCCTTGAAACAAGATAACCCAGATGCTCAAAACAGAAATCTTTTATAACCATGAGCACTGAGTGTACCAGCATTAATCACTAAGTGCCTGATTCTTTTCTTATTACCATGATTAACACCAATGTAAATAACACTAAAAGTTAGCAGCTTTGTAGACCTAGATTCTCTTCTCACTTAGATCAGGGTAACTCCCATGACTTTAATGGTGTCACTCCAGATTTGCAGCAGAGCAAGTAAGAGGAGAATCAAGTCCTAGCAAAGCTATTTTGTTTAGTTCTGTTTTATTTAGCTTTTATTTCAGTCTACAGCACAGATGGGCTCAAAGTGTAAATATTGGATCTGGATTTTGATCACTGCAAAGTTCATGGGCATTTGAATATGGGTTTTGGTTCAGGCTCATTTCTAAGCTACACTCATGTAAAATTAGAGAATTTTAAATTATTCTTCATACCAGGGAGCAAACTTCAAGTGTGTGAGAGGGTTACACTAATAGCACTTTAACTATGGCAGTGTGAAGGGGTTCTAAAGTTGGTGTAATTGTAACTTACACCCCTTTGAAAGGCCCCTTTACACTGCCAGAGTGCTGTAATGTGGATTTGGTGTAAATGAGACTCAGGCTTAGTAGTAGAGTATATTTTTGTAACAATACTAGGGGAAGTCTAACTATAAACATCAGTTACATCTCTACCTTTTGGTTTGTTTGAGCTCCATTTTTCTTGTCTCCAGCAATGCTTCACCTGGAGTTGGTTCAGCTGTAGAAGTTCTCTCTTTTGTTTACTCCTATAGGTAGAATGCTCTCAGGAAGCCAATGCTGATGTAATGAGAGAGATGACCAGAAGACTGTACAGCCAGTATGAAGAAAAACTACAACAAGAAGAACAGAAACATATAGCCGAGAAAGAAAATCTAATAGTATGTACAGCCAGTCTGTAAGAGTGTTCTTCAGTTCAGTGTTTGAAGTACAGTCCTTAAATTATATTGACAAATGTAACACCAGAAGCGAAGTCTTACATTTATTTGTACACCAGTTTCTTTTCCTTTCATGCCTTGTTACAGCAACTTTTAAACTTTCATAGTCGTTAGAGCTTTATAGCTGAAGAAGGAGGGCGTCTAAACATAATGGACAGTAAAAATTTAAATTTCAAAATGAAAATGACATGGATGTTTTTCTACTCCTGGTCTTAGAAAATGCAAAGCACAAATCCTGTGACTTTAGTGAAATCTCAAGAGAAAAAAATTAATTTCAATAGAGAAATCCTGTGAGAACATTTTTTTCTTCCCAAAACCTTCCTCTGATCATGTTGTTTTGTATATTTCTGATCAATCACAACAAGGTTATCTAACACCACTCACAGATAGCCACCGAGACTGAATTCAGTCTCTCAAGCCTTAATGTGATACAGATATAAATGCAGTTAAAAGTGACAGGCTTTGGTAACTAAACATACTGTTCTTGGGAATAGCACATTTTCTTCTCTCAGTACTGAGTACTTGTGTATCCACTGAGGGGAGAACAAATATTCATGTGGTGTGCAAACATTTTTTGTTTTTAAAGCTGATTGCTGAGAAGGCTTAGAGCCCTATATTAAAAGTAACTCCACAATTTTGATCACCCAAATTTTGTGTGCCACAAAACTCATATTTGATGCTATAGCTAGATGTTTGGTTTGCAAAAACAGTCTCAGTTCTTACGCACCCAGATTTATTGGCTTTATTGAGTCTACTTTTAAAAAAACGAACCCCATTGTATAGCACAGAAATCAGCTCCTTACTTTTCATTTGTCAATTTTATTGATTGTTTGTGGATATGAACATAAATCTGTTTGTTCAAAGGCAGAAACAAATCGACTTCTGAAGGCCATTGAGGAGGCAAATAAGAAGATGCAAATTACAGAGACAAGTATACAGGAAAAAGACAAGAGGATTGGAGAGCTGGATCGGTTCATTCAGCGCATGGAAGAGGTAACTTTCTCTGCTCACAGAATGTTAACGTATGGGTGCCAATATCTACGCTCTGTTTAGCAGAAATGCAAGACTTGTATAGGAGAGCACCTGTTCCTTCAGTCCTCTGTGGGTCAACATCCCTCTCCTCCAATGGCCTCTCCCCCACTCACCACTTCTATCTTCTTCCTGTTAATAAAATCAAAAACCCTTTATTGCATCCATCCATGCTCTTAGCACTTGGACTGCTGAGGGCACACGATGGCAAGTTGGCACCTTTGCCCACTCTACTGTTTGTAGGCGCTGTTACTTGCAAAAACGTTCAGGGCTGCCTCGGAGCTGAGACACATAAGGGGCCAATCTTTATTTTGAAAGGACAATTTAAAAAAACAACAACACATTTTATCTCCTAATAGCCTGTACGAGTTTTTCTGGATCCTTTATGGTCCTTTATTCATTACAGTCATAAAATCTTTTAAATGTACAGCTTACCTGGCTAACAAATGCATATATATAAAAACATTTTTTTTAAATGCATCAGGAAAAAACCTATTCTTGTAATTAGTTTTAACTGGAATTGCACCTTGAGGTTCATGCACATCAGGATGAAACTCTTAAGACTTCCGACTAAAATTCCTTTTGAATTTTGATGTCAAACTTTCTGTGCATATAACAACCATCTATGTTTCCATGCACATAACTTATTTTTAGATTATTTTTCAAAATACTCTGACAGTGACCCCAGATTTTCAGTTTTTAGTCTACTTCTGATCTATAAAAAGGTTCTTCCTTACTTCTCTGCACTCAGTATTGTCAAATGTTTTTCTCCTTGGCTCAAATATGGTCTACCATGCTGCAGCCTTGAGCATATTTTTACAATTGACTTGTAACTCCCTGGAAGCAGAAATGCTGCCAGACACTTATCTCTTGTGACGTTAGCAGCACTGCTGTAGAACGAGTTGTAGCAGTTTTTCTGTCATTTCCTTATATCTCCTGCCCTGCCTTCTTCTATTTTATGGACTTTGTTCCAGGGCGAAACGCATACTGGTTTTGAGATAATTGTTCTAATGTAAGTCTAGTAGTAGTGCAGTGCCTCTACTCACACATACAGTTATTATCCAAATCTTGTCTGTTGGAAGTTCCCTGATGTCTGAAACAGGTTTATTCCCCCAGTGTCAGCTAAAGGCAATTTCATTGTAATTATTAGTCTGACATTATCAGTGATTCCATTGTATTCAGTAATGGAGTCTGCAATATTATTTGTTTAGTGCCTTCAGCGTGTTTGGCATTGTTCAGTATATGAAAATGAATACAATCCCTGCCAAAGAATTTACTGTCTAAAAGACAGAAATGCAGAAGTAAGGACTCACTAGAAATCCTGAGTGGTGACAAGAACGTAGGGTTTTGGTTATTTTAATCCTAAAACATAATAAAACTCAATTCTTAAAAGCTATGTTCTTGTTGTGCTTTAGCTTCAGTTTAAATCTAACCACTAATTATTTGCTAATACAGAGAAACAAACATCACCACCCACACTTGCTGGCTAGATGGAATTACTAACCCTTATTTAAACTATATGTAGTATATTAATGTCCTCTTTGCCCAACTAACAAAAGTGCATTGACTGGATTATAACTACTTAGGTGGACTCTTCTCAGTTTAAGATCTAGCTGTGACATAGCTTCATTTATTTTATATTAACAGTTAGCAGTAATGTTGGATAAATCACTTTGGGCCAGATTGTAATTCCTTACTTTACAAGTCGTCCCACTGAGTTTAGTGGAGTTATTCGTAGTTACAAGGTGGTATTCAATGAGTAAAATGGTACATTATGGTCTTTGGTGTTAGGAAATACATTTGTACTTTTACTTTACTGTAGTTCATTAATTTATGCAGTCAGCGCTAAACACCTGCTGTTGTGCTTGTGTTGCTCTTTAAATATTTGGCTGTTATTTAAGGCCCCAATCCTGCTCTCATTGACATGAATGGCAAAACTCGCTTTGACTCTAGTGGAGCAAGATCAGACCCTACATGTGCACGGATCCTCTCAGCACTCATGCTCGGTAACATTTGAACAGTATAAGTAGGGACATTTTGGGAGAAAAATAGGGAGACGCCTCCTATCTCTGCCAAAATACATTGGATCAGGAGATCCTTTTGGAGGAACAATATAGAAAATTTGATATTCATATAATCAACAATGGTCATGTGGTTCATTTAATCTCTGCATCCAAGACCTTAAATGTAATCATATCTTCTACCTATAATAATTTTAGAAGGATGGAGTCCCTTTGTGGGTCAGAAAGATAATGTTCTTTCAGAATTGCATTTCAGCTCACATGTCTTTATCCTTCAGAGTCGCACTTACCTACAAAATACAAAATTGCAAGCAAAGCTGCCCCTTGACACTGGCAAACTGGTGCTGAATACTGAAAACATTGCTATTTATCTTAGTGCTCAGCTGAGAACTCAGGTTCTCTTTATTCAAGCTTTGTTTTTTCCATTCTGTGCTTCTTGGCTGTTGGAAATACATGCTCCACTTGTAATATAGTAATAACTTGTAGCTGAATCAGCTTCTGTTTTTGTTTAACATATTATGGGCCTTTTTAAATCACAATAAAATATACTTAATGGAGTTTAATTTACAATGTGAAGAAATGGAGAAATAACATTTTCTTGTTTAGGAACGCCACCAGCTACAAAAACAACTGGTACAACATGAAATCCAGATATCTGGAGCAAAATCTCAAATCCATTCAGACAGACGGAGGTGGGCTTTTATTCCTTACTCAGATTTCTAGCATTGTTAAGTTTTTCAAACCTGAATCTTTGGTTGTAGTATATTCCAGCTGGATAATTCCTTCCCAAATTATATTTGCCTCATTTTATGTAGGAAAACTGCAAGAGAATTTATTTTGCAAAAACTCATCCTTCTCAGCTTTATTTGTGAGAGAAGTTGATTGCAATCAGGATGGATTAGGTAGAGTACATTGCATTGCTGAGAAATATGTGTTTTTAGGTCAGTATAGTTTCATGCACATCTGTGATGCTTTTTTAAAATAGATATAAAAGACAAAGGCCTGACTCTTTTCAGAAGGGCTGAGCACCCAAAATCAGGCTGCTAGGATCCTTGCAATCAATATCTTAATTACCTTTTTCTTTAGTATGTATATTCACAACATTTTAAAAAAAGCAATTTCTGTACCACATCCTATGTTGGACTGTAGGACAGCTCAGTGAGGACATTCTGTGAACTCTAACTTTTCTCATTCGTAACATGGGGTTAATATCTGCCTCTTGGTTATGAAGTGGGGATTTAATCAGATAATGGTTTGTAAGTGCTAAAACGAACCATAATGTGCATGCAGCTCTCCAGGGCTGAGTGCTTAGAAGATACCAGATCATCATTCTGTTTGAACAAGTTTGAAACTTCTCTAAATGTTGGCAGCTCTGATATGTAAGGTAAAGGAGAGCTAAGTGGGTGGTATCTGACAATGACTAATGACCAAACAGATAACTATAAAAATGAACTTTAGACTAATATAGGAAATGACATTTGTCAGGGGAATTTGGCTTATTTAACGAGGTTCCTTTTCTTGACCTACTTTGGCATTGTGTTTTTTATTTTTTGTTTGGTTGTTTTTGTTTGGTTGTTTTTTGTTTACATTGCATGGCTTCCTACATATTTACTTAGTTCTTATATCTTATATCAGGTCACAGCATCTGGAAGAGGTTGCAGCTGGTCTTAGAGAACGAATCAAACATCTGGATGACATGGTCCATTGCCAACAGAAGAAAGTCAAACATATGGTTGAAGAGGTGAGCTCTAGCAAAACAATGTATTCCCTAAACAGCTGCTTGGAGGTTTTAACTGTACGCCATAAAGCTGAATACATAGCCCAGGAGGGAGCTCTCTAACTCCTTCTGCCTGTTCCACTACCAAAAGACCTGCATGTTGTTTGCTGCTTTATTTAGCACGTTACCTTCTTACACCATGATACTTACTGCATCAATAGTGGATGAGCTATGCATTTGTATATTGCAAAGCAGAAAGAGGAAGTTAAAACAGTTTATACCAGTGATTCTCAGGCTATAGTCCGTGTATCAGTGGTAGTTCTGGATCCCTTCCAGGTGGTCCATGGAATAGAACTCTTTCAGAATAAAGCAGTGAGTAATGGAGAAGTGCTGCACACAAATAGTGGGGGTTGGGGATTGGGTGGGTGGGTGAGGAGGTTGGTTCCTTCTCTAAACAAGTGGTCTGTGGAATGAAAAAGCTGAAGGATTATTTGCTTTTAATAATATATCTATGAAACATGTTGTGCAGAAGAGGTGGCTTTAATACACCCTTATGCTTCTCTAATCCTGGAGCCAGCTGGGGCTGGGTTGGTCTCCAATAGAAGGTAAAGCAGTCTTCCGTGTGAATTCCGCTCTGATTTACCAGCGGCCTGTGCCCCAGTGCTGTTCCAGCAGCCAGGCCAGCTAGAGTCCGAGGCAGGCCAGACTGGGATGGTATGGCATAGGGTTTTGGACATTAAATTGGGTTTAAATTGGAGTGACATAGGGCAGCCAAATTGCACTAGTGTATTCGGCCCAAATGTTGTAGTCAAGGAGGACTCTGAAGATTCAAGTTCAATTAGATTTGGACAAACATTCAACGTGGTGGAGAATTATTATGGATGCTGTTGCTGATTTGAATAGGAATTCCTCCCTTAATTCAGTATTGTGGTACTACTGCTTTGCTATGAAAATTTCTCTATCCTGGTTTGTTTTTCTAGTTCCAAAGATGAGAACATTCATTTTAACTTTTTTTTTTACACTGCTGCTGAAAACAGTGCTTAGCGTTGCTGCTAATCAAGAGTTGACACACAATGATAACATAGGTTTCTGGATAGGGATGTTTTGCCCTTGTTCTTGGAACGTTAGCCGGCTGTCAAGTCATAATTTTAAATGTCTGAACATTTCCTCATATCAAATGTAGAATTTAATATTTATATTTTGACGTTACATTCAAAACTGCAAATAAAAGGCATTAATATACAACATACATATACATCATGCATACATATGTACACACTTCATATGGTATTGTGAAACTCGTATGCTAAATTGTAGAGCAGTTGCTCATTTGCATTTATCATGTGCCTTTGACTGCCTCACATGCTCTTCTCACCGATTCCTCTTTTCCTCAGATTACTTCTAACGTTCCCAACCTCAGAGCAGTTTCAAAAAGCTGTCATTTTAAAAAACATGCTGCTAAATAAATGGGTCCCCTCCTTCCCTGAAATGTGGACAGTGGTCAATCCTCAAGCAGTGACAAGTGTAAGGTCCAGTATTTCACAGGCCTAGGTATGGAAGATTTTTTGGCACTTAAAAGAGGAAATGATTCCCTGTGGAATGATTCTTGGTTGATTTCCATGGGCCTATCATGATTTATACCATCTCAGGGTCTGCCCTGCAGCACTTCCTTCTAATCATGAATGCCCCCTAACTAAAGCTGGTTCTGTTAGTCTTTTAAAATATTTAGATAATGGAAAAGGAAATAGCTAGTCACTTGGGGAGGTAAAATTTATTAAAGTACTTTATTAGTCATTATTGCAGTACATTCATGGCTCGTCTCTATTTAAAAACAAAAACCCATCCTACTGTTTATAGGGATGTGTTCATCTTATGAAGAATGATAACATCCATTTAAGTAGTATCATTGAAAAAGAGTGATAAAGTATTTTACAATTAGGAAATTATTTTATAATGCAATTGGACATCACTGTGGCATGACTTTAAAAAAACAGATTACTCTAGGAACCCCAGAACAGCAATATGTGGTATCTAAATTAGATGGATTGTTGAAATATCAACAATGCTTCTATCAGGTGAAGGAAAATATGTTCTTTTTAACAAGAAGCTTTAATCTATAAAGTTAAGTTAGAAGCTCAGGTAAGCATCTGCTTGCTTGACTACAGAATAAGCTTTTGTTACATCTCAGCACCCAAATGTAGACTTAAATGCTATGAGATTCATTCTTTCAGTGTAAAGAACACTATAAACTCAGTTTTTTTATTTATTCTGATATAAATTATTTTCAGCAGTAAAAGTGAAGGAGCAACAAATCTGTGTGGAATATAAGTGGCGAGAGGTTAAGATGAATGGTGTCCTTTAAAATGAGGGATAGTTGAGGTCTGAATTGAACATCTTTATTATGACAGTATCACCGGGGTGCTGTGAGGATGAATACAATAAAGTTTGTCAGGCGCTCAGACACTATGGTAATGGAGGCCATAGAAGTATCTTAATATGGCACCATCCCAACTGGATGATTGTTAGATCCCAGGAGACTGTACAGCTTAGTCAGCCAGATAGTGCCTCATCTCTGCCTGATCCAATTCCTATAGGTTCTAATAGGAGATAGATCTGGTACCAGGTGCCCCAAAGTTGGAGTGCAGTCTTCCCACCAGACCTATCAACCCTGTGGGGATCTGTTTTCACTGTTCACACCAGGATTTGAGGGACCTTGAGAAGCAAATATCAAAACTTAGACCCTTCTACCCAATTTCTTTTCCTATTTTCCCCAATTCTTGTTCCCTCTGCCATAAGATTTTCCTGTATGAAAAAGTTAAGATATTTCCTTTTTACAATTTTTCAGCCTAGCTCCATTGTTCTTCCTATATAGAGGCAGCTTTGTGCTAGCCCTTACCTTTGTACCAAGAGTTTGTGTGAAATCCCATAGACACCTTTACACCGATATAACGCTGTCCTTGAGAGCCAAAAAATCTTACTGTGTTATAGGTGAAACCGCGTTATATCGAACTTGCTTTGATCTGCCGGAGTGCGCAGATCTGTCCCCCCGGAGCGCTGCTTTACCGTGTTATATCCGCATTCATGTTATATCAGGCCGCGTTATATCGGGGTAGAGGTGTATTCTGTGTCCCACGTGTAGAAGGTGCCAAATAAATAAGAGAGAGAAGCATCCAAAACTGAGCAAGCACTGACTGGAAAGGATTTTTTATGGCTAGAGTGCTCCACATAATAGGTAGATCTTCAGTTCTGTTGTAGGAGGAGCCTGAGGGCACTCAGCAAACAATAATTAAGGAGCTGCTACAAGCGTGAAGGGTTGCATGAAACTAGAAGGGGCTGACGGAGACGCTGTCTAGATTAGGAAATATGCTAGCTAGTACACTTTCCCTAATATGTTTTTAAACACAAGTGTAGACAGTGTCCAAGATTTAAAAGAGAGTTTTTTAGCAGGTTGTGGTCAACCCTAGTCTAGACATGTCCAAAAGGAGCAGTCAGAAGTGAAGCATGGATGTAGGAAAGCAGTGAGGGAAGATGAACAAAGTGACTAAGAGTTGATGCAGAAGGAATCCCATAAAATAATGCTATTAAACCCTGCTCTTCATAGAGGCCCCAGTCTTGCTGGCATTGAATTCAATGGTAGTTTTGCCATTGCCTTCAATAGGACCAAAGATCAAGCCCGAGATCAACCTTCTGTGTTCGACATGTCAAGACAGTGTTTTCTCCAAAGTTCTCCCTATCTTAAAATAAACCCACATCTTACATGCTTTAGTAAAAGTTTGGTCAGCTTGAGCTAGACAAACTACTAGTAGTTTCAAGACATAAATTAAACAGAAGCACAGAAACTGCGAGAGGAAAATAAATGTTTAAATTAGAGATGAAATGGAAGTTTACTGGAGTCTGTGACCTTCAACATCTCTTTGCATTTGATCCCACACAAAGCCATTTTGCAGCCTCATAGGGTTTCTTTACTGTGTGAGACACAAAAAAGATAATTGTTGGTTAGAGAACTTTCTTGCCAGCTGTTGTTGTTGCATATGAATAAAGTCTGGTGTTATAAGTAGGGAAGAATTGCAGATGATTTAACACTGACAGATTTTCTCAAAGCAGAACTTACTTGTTAAATAAATGGGTTCCCAATTGTGACAAACCTCCAACCTTGTCTCAGTGGGTCCCACATTTCCAGGCAGATTACACTAGCCTCAGAGGCTCACTGTAACCCTCCATGTAGTCCTTCTCTCTCTCTAGGGAGAAGGGTCACAGCCTACTGAGCCACTTTCATCATAAGCCAGCAAGGGAGGTGGGAAGAAGCAACCCTCCCTCATACAGTCTCTGTTGTTTCTCAGTCTCTGTGATTAATCAGGGAGAGAGGGGGGAGCCCGGGGCCACCCTCTACTCCAGGATCCAGCCTAGGACCCTAATAGTAGTAGCTATTTGTAGCTGACTTTTTGAAACAGGACAAGTACAATTCCCTGGGCCACTTCCCCACAGCAGCCCCCACTTCCTCAACATCTACTTCACCCTTACTTCAGAGCCTCTTTCCTTGTGCCTGATAGGGTTTGTCCTGCCCAGTTTCTCCAGCAGCACAGTTTCCTCCTACAGCTGGGAGGCATTTAACTAGTTCAAGTCAGCCCTTGATTGGCTTCAGGTGTCCCAATCAACCTAGCTGTCTCCACTGCTTTCTAGAAATATCTTAATTGGCCCCAGGTGTCTTGATTAATCTGGAGCAACTACCATTTGCTTACCATGGTAACAGGGATTTGTTTAGCCTGGGGCTAATATACCTGTTTCTCACTACTTTCCTATAGTCCTCTGGCCCTGCCCCCTCACACAATACACTGTACTTCCTTTTTACTTACCATGCCAATGGCTGCATGTGAAAGACCCCACCACCATGGCAGGTGGAGAATCTCAATGTTTGGTGGCATGGCATATTCGTATTTTAAAAAAGAAATTGTACCAACTTTAGGAAGTTTACAGTGCAGGTGCTTTTAGGAAAAGAAGTGAAAGGAGACAGACTGTCAGAGAAG